GCGACAGAAAGGCAAGGGGATACGCGACTTAAGAGCGGGTCGGGTTGGGGCCTTCAGACTCTAAGCAGGACGTCTTCTAGACTTCAGCAGATGGAGATGAAGTTAGTGACCTACCCTAGCAAGAAGAAGAAGCTTGAAAAGAAGCTCAGGATGAAGCGCAGCCCCAGTGATGGGAGGAAGTTTGGCGACACATTGCTACAATGGCCTAAGTAATGACAGCTTCTGTTATTCACCTTCTCGATCCTTCGAGTGACCTTTTCAGCCGCCATCCCACCAGCCACCCTAGTGGTAGTTAGTTTAGGATATTTTACATACATTTGTACGAATATTTCAGTTTTAGTATAATTAAACATACTTTTTAACATTATGGTTTTTTTTTTTAATATTTTTTAATTAATTAATTTAAATTTTGAATTTAAAAAAAAAATTTAGACGTTTGCTCGACGAATGTTTTCGTCGAGCATGTGTTTTGTACTTTTTTAATTAATTGCCTAATGAAAACACTCGTCGAGCATGTAGTTTGTATTTTTTTAAAAATTAATTGCCCAATGATTATTTCGTCGGGTGAAAGATTTTACAATATATTTTTTTTTAATTTCCGAATGCCCAATGAAATTGTTTCATCATGCAAGGTCCATTCGTCGGGCTAAATAGGTCAACACACTTCACTCGACAAATACAACTTGTCGGGCAAGTATACTTTGCTTGATGGGATACTATAATTCGTTGGGCAAACATTTGAACGACAGGTTTTATGCAACGGATATGGGGCTACGAAACGTCATCAGGCAAATGTATAGACAATGAAACCTTATTAATTTGCCCGATGAATATTTCGTTTGGAAATGAATTTCTTTTTGTAACGACTTTCTCTAGCTTGGACACTTGATAGACACACATAATACAAATACATGACAGAAATCCTAAGCACGTCTTTCAGATGACAAATAATATGGTGTAAATATATTTCACTTGATATTCCGTGTCAATAAAAACTCATACATGTCTTGTTTTATTCGTACGGATAAAAACTTGTACATGTTCGTTTCGTTTAGACCTGGCATTCGTGTCGTGTTTCTCGTGTTCGTGTCGTTTTCGTGTCATACCCGATAGCTTAACGGGTCGTGTCGTGTAATACCTGTTAAAGTAAACGGGTAATATGACCCGACCCGAAATCAACCCGTTAATATTATCAGGTAATATGACCCGACCCGTTACCCGTTAAGAAAATTATATTTTAAATCAATAAAAATGAAAAGAAAAACATAATTTGACCCAAAAAAATGTAAAACATAATATTAAATTAGTATATACATACTAAATTTCGGAGTTGACCCCTTAATGAAAGTTGTAAAGCTTTTCATTACGAGTGATTACATTTTTCACACTTATTATTATTAATTTTTCACTCAAATAGATAACATTGCTCATGAGATTTGGAGGGTTTTAAAAATCTACACTTATTTATACTTTCATCGAGTATAACATAAGATTTTATGGTATCCACTAGTGTAAATATTTTAAATTGAAGATCGAATTCATTCATTGTATTCATATAGGGTCAATGAGTGTAGCTGTAAAAAATCATCAAAATCGAAGTTAAAATAACCGTTAAATCGTAATTTTTCGTTTATAACCGTCGAAAAGTTTTGTCTCATTACTTGATCTTTCAATGTTTGTTTTTTTGCAATTTTTGGCATATGCGATCTCGAAACATATATAAACAAGTTTGACGGTTGGATCGTTGAAATTGGTTTTGTAGGATGTGTATCCCATCAAAACGATAGATTCACTAACACTAAAGAGTTTATTTATACTTTCATCAAGTATAACATAAGATTTTGTGGTATCCACTAATGTAAATATTTTAAATTGAAGATCGAATTCATTCATTGTATTCATTTAGGGTCAAGGAGTGTAGCTGTAAAAAAGCATCAAAATCGGAGTTACAATAACCGTTAAATCGTGATTTTTCGTTTATAACCATCGAAAAGTTTTGTCTCATTACTTGATCTCTAAATGTTTGTTTTTGCAATTTTTGGCGTATGCGATCTCGAAGCATATATAAACAAGTTTGACGGTTGGATCGTTAAATTAGTTTCGTAGGATGCGTATCACATCAAAACGATAAATTCACTAACACTTAAGAGTTTATTTATACTTTCATCAAGTATAATATAAGATTTTGTGGTATCCACTAGTGTAAATATTTTAAATTGAAGATCGAATTCATTCATTGTATTTGTTTAGGGTCAAGGAGTGTAGCTGTAAAAAAACATCAAAATTGGAGTTAAAATAACCGTTAAATTGTGATTTTTCATGTATAACCGTCGAAAAGTTTTGTCTTATTACTTGATCTTTGAATGTTTTTTTTTTTTGCAATTTTTGGTGTATGCGATCTTGAAGCATATATAAAAAATTTTGATGGTTGGATCGTTAAAATTAGTTTCGTAGGATGCGTATCCCATCAAAACGATAGATTCACTAACACTTAAGAGTTTATTTATACTTTCATTAAGTATAACATAAGATTTTGTGGTATCCACTAGTGTAAATATTTTAAATTGAAGATCGAATTCATTCATTGTATTCATTTAGGGTCAAGGAGTGTAGCTGTAAAAAATCATCAAAATCGGAGTTATAATACCTGTTAAATCGTGATTTTTCGTTTATAACCGTCGAAAAGTTTTGTCTCATTACTTGATCTTTGAATGTTTGTTTTTTTCAATTTTTGGCATACGCAATCTTGAAGCATATATAAACAAGTTTGACGGTTGGATCGTTGAAATTAGTTTCGTAGGATGCGTATCACATCAAAACGATAGATTCACTAACACTTAAGAGTTTATTTATACGTTCACCAAGTATAACATAAGATATTGTGATATCCACTAGTGTAATATTTTAAATAGAAGATCGAATTTATTCATTGTATTTGTTTAGGGTCAAGGAGTGTAGCTGTAAAAAATTATCAAAATCGGAGTTAAAATAACCGTTAAATCGTGATTTTTCGTTTATAAACCGTCGAAAAGTTTTGTCTTATTACTTGATCTCTGAATGTTTGTTTTTTGCAAATTTTGGCATATGCAATCTCAAAGCATATATAAACAAGTTTGACGGTTGGATCGTTGAAATTAGTTTCTAAGATGCGTATCCCATCAAAACGATAGATTCACTAACACTTAAGAGTTTATTTATACTTTCATCAAGTATAACATAAGATTTTGTGGTATCCACTAGTGTAAATATTTTAAATTGAAGATCGACTTTATTCATTGTATTTATATAAGATCAAGGAGTGTAGCTGTAAAAAATCATCAAAATCAAAGTTAAAATAACCGTTAAATCGTGATTTTTCATTTATAACCGTCGAAAAGTTTTGTCTTGTTACTTGATCTCTGAATGTTTGTTTTTTGTAATTTTTGGTGTATACGATCTCGAAACATGTATAAACAAGTTTGACGGTTGGATCATTGAAATTAGTTTCTAAGATGCGTATCCCATCAAAACGATACATTAACTAATACTTAAGAGTTTATTTATACTTTCATTAAGTATAACATAAGATTTGTGGTATCCACTAGTGTAAATATTTTAAATTGAAGATCGAATTCATTCATTCTATTCATATAAGGTCAAGGAGTATAGCTGTACAAAATCATCAAAATCAGAGTTAAAATAACCGTTAAATCGTGATTTTTCGTTTATAACTGTTGAAAAGTTTTGTCTCATTACTTCATCTCTGAATGTTTGTTTTTTGCAATTTTTGGAGTATGCGATCTCGAAGCATGTATAAACAAGTTTGACGGTTGGATTGTTGAAATTAGTTTTGTAGGATACGTATCTCGTCAAAACGATAAATTCACTAACACTTAAGAGTTTATTCATACTCTCATCATTTTGATGGGATATGCAGTGATGTTATACTTAATGAAAGTATAAATAAACTTTAAGCGTTAGTGAATCTTATCGTTTTGATGACTTGGAATAAATATATTAATTATTTATATATTTTAAGTGTTAATTAGACTATGTTTCAATTAGTATGTGATGATATTTAATAATAAAATTACATTTATGTTTTTTATTACGTATTTTATTTTTATTCAAGTTAAAATGTTATAAGAGATAAAAAAAGAAAAAAAAAAAAGCTGGTTATTTTTTTTCTTCGGGTTAAACATTAGGTGGGAAATGGATGGATATAGGTTGCAAAATTTCCCAAACATTAGGTGGGAAATGGATGAAACTTTTGAAATATTAGGCGGGAAATTAATTATTATAATTTTTTTATGTTTTTGGTATTTTTAAATTACTTGATATTTTTATTTTTAATGTGTTTTATGATTTTTAATCTCAATCTTTGCCTATAATATACTATAAAAATAAATAAATAAAACTTAAATTTAAAATTTATATAGAATAATAATAGAATAATAATTAATAAATAATATATACATATTCATTATATCTATTGCATTTTATAGTAAGTTTTTTTTAGTAGTTTAAAAAATTAAAATCATCAAAATAGCATTTTTCTTATCGTGTCGAAACAGGTTACCCGCGTGTCACTCTCGTGTAAACCTGTTAAGAACCCGTTATTAACGGGTTATTATCGTGTGACCCGATAATGACCCGATTAGTTATCGTGTTGACCCGAAACCCGTTATTTTCGTGTCGTGTTAACGGGTCGTGTAATAAATTGTACAGGTCTAGTTTCGTTCTCGTAAGCTCCTCTCTATCTCTCTCATTGATCTTATTCCAATAATAAGATCTGTTTTTATTAATTTCTCTCTCTTCCCTAAACATTCCAAGCATAAATATCTCAATCGCGCCCCCCTCGTCCGCTACAGAAAGCCAAGAGGAGGGTTAAGACTTAAGAGATGGGTCACTCCGACCCACTCATTCCCTCAATCATAACACACCCAACCCCACCCCCACCCCCACCACCTCACACACACACACACACACACTCTCTCTCTCTCAAATGATCCCCAAACAACCTTTCCCATAAAACCACCTTTTATAAATCCATATTACAAAAACCACTACTTACATTTTACATCTATTCCCACTCCACTCCGACCAGACTAGTCCCATCCTCACTCTCTCTCTCTTCTTCTCTCTCTCATAAAAAGTTCTTGCTTTCTCATCTTTTGTCTTTGTGTTCATTTCTCTGTACATTTTTATTTCTTTAATAATAACAAATTATATCTTGTTTCTTTTTTCTGTTTCACACCTTAGCCTTTCTCTCTCAAGAAATACTACCTGATCAGGCTATAAATTACAAATTAAGCTTTGAAATATTAAGTCAATGGATTTGATGGCATCCGAACGCGTTTGTTATGTTCACTGCAACTTCTGCAACACCATTTTAGCGGTATCTCTCTCTCTCTCTCTCTCTCTCTCTCTCTCTCTCTTAGTCATGTCCATCCTTAATTATTCAAGTCTAAGGTTTCTTTGTGCCATGTCTTTCAACAGCTGAATTGACCAATATCCGCGCTTTCATATTTTTAGCTTTCAGATCAAGAATGAATTTGATTCGTCATGTCCCTCTATGCACCCCAAAATAACAACTTAGTTAAAGGTGTAGAAGAATCTATAACTGGGTTTTTATGAATATATAAAACAATTGTGTCCCTTAACCGACTACTTAAAATGCCCTTCTTCCTGTTAAAGTTTAAGTACTCGAATTGACGCCAAGAATTGCAAATTCTTGAGAGTCACATGGAATTGATCAAAGAATCTGTCTCCTACCTTATATTTTATGAAGAATTGTACCTGGGTTGTTTGGCCTGCAGGCCTCCCAGTAGATGAAAATAATAAGAAAATTTCATTTTATGTACGTCACATCGACCAGTGGTTGTAGAATTGCAATCGATCGACCCCATAAAGAGTTAAGTGGATTTATAACAATTTCAAAAGTGAGGGAAGATTGCTTCCGCTAAAGATAGCAAACAAATCTTCTGAATGTGTTCCGCTACGGGATTCTCGTGGCCATGTACTAGGGCAACAAGTAGCTAGGTTATAAGCTAGGGTTGAAGTTTCAGATCCCAAGCTATATGTGCACAACTTTATGCAGATTCCTACTCTCATCTCAAGCTACTTATATATGCATATTTATTAAATTGTAGGGTTATATATAATATTAACTTATTACTAAACCATGGCAGTACTGATTCATCTTCTTTTATCGTTCTATCATTTCATTCCTTACTTAATCTCTCTCTCTCTCTCTCGATGAATAAATGTGATCCAGTTGTTGCATATTTCAGGTTTTGAATACCAATGAAGAACAGAAGGCACCTTTTCCTTACTCTTTATAAAAACCTGTGAATAGAGTCTAAGGAGGGACGGAGGGACGGAGGAGAGAGAGAGAGAGAGAGAGAGAGAGAGAGAGAGAGCAGCAGCAGCAGCAAATAGTGCTTCTTTTTCTTCTTTGTTTCATCACAAGGTGCCTCTGATAAATTAAACCTTCTAAAATGATTTCCTTTGTTTTTTTTTTTCCCTTCCGAACGTTATGTTTTGTGATAATTGAGAAAGTATTTATACGGATTTCGACAAAAAAAGAAAAAAGAAAAGAGAAAGTATATATACGGAAAATGAAGATGTTAAACTGGAGAGTACACAGCAGAATGTACAGTGATTAAATTAGTGTAGTTGATGATGATGATAATTCAGGCTCTCTTCCTTTAATCATGAGTAGAGTAGTTATGTTTGATAGTGAAGAAGAGTGAGTGGTGAATGCTGCTGGTCATGGCCTTTAATGGTTTCCGTTCCCGTCACGTCGCTTTCTTTCGTTCTCTCTCTCTCTCTCTCTCTGTTGATGCATTGAGCTATTTCCTTCTATCTTTTATCATCTTCCTTGCGGGTGTGTCAGGCAGAAAAGCCAGAAGGGGCACCGAAAGGGAAAAAAAAGAAATAGTATCTCTGTGTGCGCGTGTGAGTTTCTGTGTGTCTACGTGTGAGTCACAGAGGGAGAGAGAGAGAGAGAGAGAGAGAGAGAGAGAGAGAGAGAGAGAGAGAGAGAGAGAGAGAGTTTCTTAAGTAATTAAATGAAGAGGGCTAAGAGACCTTATAGTTATTTACCCATGTGTGGTCTGAGATCAATTCTGCAGTACTTAATTGTTAATTTGAGAAAAGAGGTTTTCAGCATCGATAGGCATTTAGGCATTTCATTCCTCTCCATGTTCTTCTTCTTCTTCTTCTATCATCTTCTTCTTTATAAATACATGATTCGTCCTCCTATCGCTGATGTGTGTCCTATATGTAGTACTGTTTTCAATTGATAGAGTTCTTCATAATGATCATATGTCCATCAATGCAATCTGGTTTGTTCTCATACAAGATTTGTTTCTGTTTTATGAATTAGGATTTGTATTTTTGTTTGGTTAATAGGGGTTTGCTTACGATCATATTCATATGATGGTTACATTAACGCTTTTGAGTGCGTGTATGTGAGAGAGCAAGAAATTAAGATTCAGGAGCCAACAAATTAAACAAAAAATCAATCAACATGGAACTAAGCAAGAACCTAGCTAGAATCTCACATCAATTAGTATTGTAGTGATTACTTTATTTTTCTTTGAAGAAGAATACAGTATTTAGGTAATAATTCAATGTACCTCTTACATTATATACTGATCGGTAACTGAACCGAATGGATGCAGGTGAGTGTTCCATGCAATAGTTCAATGAATATGGTGACGGTGAGATGTGGGCATTGTGCCAATCTGCTCTCTGTTAATACTGGAGGTTCCCTTCAGTCGACTACAATTCCTCCTCATCAAGATCCCCAGGTAATTGTACATTAATTATTAATTTAACTATATATGTGCATTTGGCTTTGCAAGTTGTGAATTGCCTAGTTGATAGATTTTTCTCTTAAGCTTACTGTATTGGGGTTCAAACCCTACCATTCTTTTGGTTTAAGTTAGATTAGTAATAATATTTGTAAAAAAAATTAAAAAGTATGTGCATTTTGCCTCCTTTCTTAGGTAATTATATTCAATATTTTTCTGACTCGGATTCCATAAATTTCCACAAGGAATTTGATGGGTGTGTATGTAAACAAGGTAGTTTTATGAAGTGTGCGAGTCAATTTATTCGTGATCAATTAAGGATTAGACAATGTTTTTTCGTTTTTCAAAGATCGATCAACCAGTGATTATTCAACCAGTACCAACTTATTATTATGTATTTTCGTGATGAGCATGTCTCTGAAATTTCAATTCAAATTCTTTTGGTGCCAAGGTGTTGACAGTGATTTGACTGATATATATATATATATATATATATAATTTTAATGTAATTTAATTGGTTGTTTGCTGGTTAATAATTTATTAATTGAAAGTTACAGAAACAACACCTGAGCTCTGAGGATTCAAATAAGAACTGCGGCTCATCATCATCATCATCCAAATCCAACAAGTTTGGTCATGCATTTGAGTCTCTAGAGCTTCATGACCAACCTAGAATCTCTCCCATAAACCGTGAGTCTCTCTCTCTCTCTCTCATACACAAATAATATGACATATCTTTTGCAGTCACTTTAAATTAATGAAGTCGACCAGACCTACCCCCCACCAACCACTTAATGTCTCATACCAAATGTTAAATGCAAACCAACAACCTGGGTTAATTATCTTATGATGATAGCTTTGAGCAAATTAAGTGTCTCCGCACAATTGGAAAAAAAGTAAATAACAAGGAACAATTATCACCTAATACTTCAAGGTGATCCTGTTAAATGCAAACCAACCTACGTACGTACCTAGGTTAGCTGAATGTGCTTCATCCTATGCATTCGAGTTTGGGTTCTCTATGTGCAATTTAATTAGATTTGGTTTCAAATAGAATATGTGCAAGAAAAAAAAATAAAAATCTACAGCCATTTAGTTTGAATAATAAGCATGCAAACCCCATTTACAAGTGCTCAATTAGGGATTTGTCCTCACTTCTCACGGGCCAACTAGGATGGTGACCTTTCATAGCAGATTTCAGTACCCATCAATTAATGGATAGCAATGTCCTAGAAACTATATATGCTCATGAGTATTAATACTTTCACATTTTAATACAATATCTATTTCAGAAAAACAAATTAACAGGTTGTACATTTTGAAGTGTGGAATCTAGCCATATATATGTGTGTATGATCTCAATCTCAATAATATCATTGGAATGAGGTACAAAATATTTTAGCTAGGTAGCTCAATCTAATACTGATGTAATTTTTGTCCTATTTTTCTAACCAATTTCTTCAAATTAATTGTTAAACATATATAGCACCAGAGAAAAGACAGCGGGTTCCTTCAGCATATAACAGGTTTATCAAGTAAGTTTATTTTTAATCATTGGTGTTGTCACACATTTTGTTGCTATACAAGTTGACGATGATGCCAATTATTATTATTATTATTAAGAGATGGAATTACCCTTGAAGATGAATTACTGGTATGATAATTAACTTAATCTCTCTCTCTCTCTCTCTCTCTCTCTCTCTCTCTCTCTCTCTAGGGAGGAGATCCAAAGGATTAAGGCTAGTAATCCTGACATTAGCCATAGGGAAGCTTTTAGCACAGCAGCTAAAAATGTAAGTTATGGGTTTCTATTAAAGCAGCCATCATGTCTCTCAAAATTTTCATATATATGGGAGACCTTGTATTAATTCATTACAATATAGCAGAACTATCAAGTTTTATTTTGGTAGTATATATATAATGGAACCACCAAGTTGATCCATACTATGTTATAGTGAGTTATGAGTGATTCTTGCTTTCGAGAACCCATGTTACTAAATATTTCATGTGTTAGAATATATATGGCTCTTGAAAATAACTTAAGAGTCATACAATATATCATAATAATCGAGAACTTATTAATTAAAAGAACAATTCTAACAAAAAAAATACCAATCAGATAGGTGTGTGCTAATATGGTGACTAACCAATCAAAGAACAATTTTGGCAATAAAAATATTAATAATCAAATAACAATTATTAAAATCAGAACTAAGTTTCTCATCATGATTAGTACGCACCATGCATGATTGTAATTCTTTTCCTTTTAGTTTTTAGTTTACAAATTTTTCTTTAGATAAAATTGAACAGACACACAAACTACGTACACGGTTTTTAGTTCATATAGATGCAAGCTTCAAAGAAAAGTTTAAAGGTTGAATAGTATTTAAATTAATAGAAAAAATTATTGAGGTCAATAATTAATTTAAAATTTCAGCATCCGTGAATGCTCATTTCATTTTCTAGCAGTTGAAACAATATTCCTCTCCAACTAATTTCAATATCACGTACATGTTAAAATTTCACTTTGACATCTTACAATATGATTGACTCTATCCTTATATTAAAAATATTTTGTGACCTCAAAATGACCCCGGCCGGGGTTAAAGAGGAAACGTACGGTTTGGCAAGTCTTGGAAAAATAGGATCCTCTGCGTACTTGTGTTTTCTTTTATCATGCTTATGTCCAAAACAACTTGTTTATGGATTTAAAGTTTTAGGGTTTTGGGTTTATAGTTTGTGTTGAAAAGCAATTTAATGAAAGTTCAATACATAATTTTAATCATAAGCTGATCATGAGTGCCATAAGTAGAGAAGACTTGCATGGGAAATGCCATTACATCTGGAATAAAATATTATATCATTTTAAATATAATAACCTAATTAATATAAAAGGCCAAAGGAAGAATCAGGAAGATAATGAAAGATCAAGCTCTCAAAATCGCTTATCCATCGGCTTTTGCAATTTGAAGATTGTAAGTAAAAACTTACGGAAAACTGCATGGTGAACTTGAATTATGAGAGTAACAGATAACAAGGATCGAGATTGGATTTTATGTGGATTAATTGCCTGTCACTAATTAGCATCTGACTAATAATGTGAAGTCAAGACTACAAATCTACTTGATGGTTAAGATAGCAAGAAGCATCGTTAATGTTTATTTTGATTGAAGGTTAGGTTAATGCTATTTATATGGACAAGATTTATCAGTACATCCCAAGGACAAGATGTTAGCAATTGTTAATTAATACAAGTGTTTCATACTGGAGAAGTATACATCCATTACTTTAAGTGGCCAGTAGCCAGCCTTAAAATTGCCTTGAGGCCTTTTGTAAAAGCTTCAGTCTGTTTTTGTGGGGATTTTTTTTCATATCGAATTACTGATTAACTTGAAGATAAATTTACATTCAACTCAGACTTAAGAAATGTAGAGAGCTTGGGGGCTTAACATCCAACTGAAATAATAAAGGATGATCTAAAGAAAGTGCATCCCTAGAAATAGAATAAGCTATTCCTTATTACATTGTCTAGGACAAAAGGAAATTAATGTCTGGTCAAAATTTTTAAGCACAACCTTAGCCTTCTGATCATTGTCCTCAACCAGAATAGTAGTTAGGCTTAAGTCCCATACAGCATGAATGGCGTTCTCAGCACCACCTTCAACTTGAGTATATATGTATTAGGTTTAGGGTTTAGTTACTTAGACTTGCTTATACAATATTGATACGTTCTTTTAGCTCATACATACTTTTTGGTTACAATGAAAGGTTTGGAACCCTTGACGTAGCTTACTCCTATCCACTCGCACCACTAGGCTAACCCCAGTGGCTTAGCTCATAAATTCAGTTGTCAATATTGAAGTTTTTAAAGATGCAGGAGTGATCCTCAATATGCAGATATATGTTCTAATTAAGTTCTACTAGCTTATAGACAGAAACATCACAAAATATATTGATGCATAAACATGAGCACAAATTGCAGGCATCCTAATTGTAGAAGGTACAACACTCTTTAAAAGAGCATCTGCAGTAATATGTGCATTGATTGTGCAGTATTATGAGTAGTTATAGATAATACATTTATGATACAATATCAATGTGCTAGTTAGAATAAAAACTAAATATATCAACTGAGAAAAAGGTCGTTTGTGTTGCAGTGGGCACATTTTCCCCACATTCACTTTGGATTAAAGCTGGATGCCAACAGGGAACCAAAGCTAGACCAGGCTTTTGCAGGAGAGGGAACTCAAAAGTCTAATGGCTTCTACTAAAACAAAACCGGTATATACAATATACCCCCTCCTGTGAGAAGCATCTGCAGGCTTCTCTCTCTCTATATATGTATGTATGATGCAACTACTAAAAAATATTGAGGTTGATGAAGTCTCCTAACCCTACAGCTGGGAAACCTCTTTAGAACCTCACTTTGTTTTTACTATCTATAGCTACGTGTTTAAATTGACTTTCCCTAACTGCAAGAAGCAAATATACTATTGTGGTTCGTTCATGTTGAACATATTTTATTCTCTTAAGTAGACAGTTAAACGTGCATTTGTTGATTTACCAACCATAGTCTCTCTTTCTCTCTCTCTCTGGGTGGAAGGACCGGACAAGGATTGTCTGCACTCCTACTTCCGATGCTCTCCCGCTGCCCTTTTGTTTGTGTGGTCACGGTTAAGCCATCTCAATATTTTATATTACTATTCATTTTTGTCTTATTATCTTTATAAAAAAACAATATAAAATGTTGACGTGACTTAATCGTGACCACACAAAACAAAAGGGCACAGAAAGACACCGAAAGTGGGAAGGCAAACAATAGGAAGGACCACAAAATTAACCAATGTGATATTCCATCCATCTGGGAATCCACCCGGAGGAACCACAGGTTAATACACACCAATATGTTTGGCTGTTTATAATTGTACAACCAGCTTATCAGTGTATATCGAGCTGTACGAAAGCAACACGAGAGAGAGAGAGAGAGAGAGAGAGAGAGAGAGATGCCATTATTCATAAGATTTATAGATGATGCGGACGTACTTGCACGTTTCACTTACTCTTACCGAGAGAGCTCAGATAATTATTAATGGATAAATTAAGTTCTCATTCCTCTCTTCCTTTTTTTTTATTTTATTTTTATTTTTTTATTTTTATTTTAGAAAACTAGATTTTAATATTTAAATAAGATGAAATTTAGAAAAATGTCTTATACAAGATTGAAAACTGATGTTAGTCCTTAGACTCTATTTAATCACAACAAATGTATTCAATGTCTCTATTTTTTATTTATAATTTTATGGTGTTCAAATTAAATTTTATGAAAATATTATAAATTTTAATTCTCATTATGTTAAGTAACTTATATAAGAAAATATTTTTGTAGAGATTTTTTGGTACACTTATGTTTTTGCATATTTTCTTATGTGCCACTAATTCATTACAATATATTTAGGTACGAACATTTTGGTACACTAGGTTAATCTAATATGTTTACGTATGGAGATTTTAGTACACTAGTTTAGTATAATATATTTAAGTATCGATATTTCAGTACACTAGTTTAGTAACATATATTTAGGTATGAAATTTTTTGGTACACGTATGTTTTTGCATAGTTTCTTATGTGCGACTAATTCACTACAATATATTTAGGTACGGACATTTTGGTAGACTAATTTAGTAAAATATATTATGATATGGACGCGTAGGTACACTATTTAGAGTAAGTCAAATAAAATTAATGAATTAAATGTGTATAATAAGTATAAATTTTAATATAATGACATCAAATAAGATATTTATTAAATATTAAAACAAAAATATAATATGAATTTGGATTAAGTACATATTAGAGGACTAAAATCAATATCCAATCTAACACTAGGTTTTTATTGAATTTTAATCTCCTTCAAGGATTAAAGTTCAAAAACCCATTTTTTCTCATTAATTGAATTTTTTTTTTTCATTTTGGACCAAGGTCCTTTGACATTTGTTCACATCCATTATTTTTAAATTAAATTAGAGAGTTGCTAGACCCACTCCTACCATAAAAAGTTAAAAAATTGAAATGCTATTTTCCCATTCATTATTAGTCCTAAAATAACCTCTAATATGTTAATTCCCCACCCACTAATATTCCTAAAAATTGAAATTTGCATTACTCAACTTAAGTCGTTGATTGCTTGTTTGCTCCATGCATGTCTCCGCTCAACTTAGGAAATTCATTACTCAACTTAATTAAGCAAGTTAAGAAACTTATCCAACTTATATATGCATCTTCAAGGGGCCATGCACATAAAACTGCAGGATGCATGCATATTGCTTTGGTCATGCTGACGTGCATGGTTAACCCTAGCTAGTTCACTCGCCGTTGATGGGTGTGATTATCATCACCTAGGGTTGATGAGAGGAAGCAAGAATGAGAGACGTGGGGTCGTAAATGGTACAGCCATCATTTAACTTGGTACGTTCTGTTGAAAATGTGGATTGTTCTGTAACGCCTGCAAATATGCCCACTTATTTTGCTGTAGAATGAGCAGTATTATGTAAATGGCCCTGTAAAAAGGACAGAGATCCCAGCCGTATCTTATCCTACCAAATCTTAAGGATCCGGAGATTTGGATCATTAAAATTTGATCAAATAACTGCAAATAGAGAGATCCTTCTATAGTGATAATAATTGTAGCAGTTAAATCAAATTTTAAAGATTTGAATCTCTGGATCCGTAGGACTTGGTGGGGAAGATCTGTCCCTCTATAAAAATGCCATATACAGTACTAATACGCAGAGAGGTACCCAGAGAGGGAGAGGGGATTTGGATTGGTTTGTCTATTGGGATTCGGTTAAGAGTAGAGAATCTGAAACGTCAAATCATGTAGTTGGTATTTTCAAATCATGTGTGGGTGAGAGTGAGTGAGTCTTGTCCAGAAGGATGGACTGGACGGGTGATTTTACTTTACTTTAGTAGCTTTATGAGTGTCCGGATCGCACTGTCATATCAGTCCTTGCTGATTTTGAAGGGAGGGAACCGCTGAAATGAAATCACCATGTCTCATCCATCTAAGAAATCCAAAGAAACTGTGTCAAAAGTGGCACTCTTGTAGTTCTTATGCTATCTTATATTTTTGACACAATATTTTATAATTTTGTTATAAAATATAACGTTAAATTATGAAGTAGTAGAGAGTTCATAATGATTCACACTTAAAAAAAAAGTCTTTTTGGCATTTCTCCTTTCACAAATAATTGATATCGTAAACACCCATAAACAATGAATGTAAAATACTAGAATACCCTTTATGAATTAGCATTGATTATGCCATTATTAACCTTGAGTAGCGGTTCTGGCATCTTCCACACCAATCCGTGAAAAGTAGCGAGAATTGAACTTGAAACTGTAGACTACCGAAGAAATTGCACAAAACTGAAAACCTGTTCTATGTTAAAATTAGGTGAGACAAGCACCAACACTCCATCGCAATGAGCTATATTGCAATGGGAAGATGCAACACAAGCTAGGTTGAGCTTCATGAAAAGACTCTCGATTTATCAAAGGCAAATGAGTTGACTCACATCGTTATATGAAGTATGTTGCACAGGAAGATGAATTGTTCCCGTGAAGAAGTTGAGTCGAAGGACATTGTATCTTATATTTTTCTAATAGTTTTGTTTGTTTTGTCTTTGTGGATTAGTGAAACTCTGGGATGAAGTTTTAAAATCGACTTTAATGTTATTTCTAAATCAACATAATCAACTATTATTTGCAGCCCTTTTCTTTGCCCTACTTTTTCTATCCAATGATTCAAACCAGATTTCTTTGTATTTTCTTCCTATAATTTCATTTTTTTTATTGGTTACCTTGCCCTCTACCTCCCACTTGTATTATACACTTCTTTTGATTATCCTTATTAATTTAATGAGTCTTTTAGTTTTGTGAAGATCACTTGATTGCTCATGCTATGAGTTTGAAATTTCTCTCAATACATAAATGAAAGGCCCTCTCCCACAAAGAATTATGGCTCCGCCACCACCTTAGTTGGTACAATTAAATACATTATCAATGAAGACAATAACTCAGTTGACTATTTGTTGAACCATTCTGCAACAATGGTACCAGTGTGCAAAGCTCTATCCCCTTTAGCCCTTAGTTAAGCGACCATGGTCGATGTTGTTATAAATCACCTAGTAAGCAGTCATGGTAGCAATGTGCCTTATGTGTGACCAGCAACAAATCATCATCGGGTACAACACGTTGTTGGGTATGGCCTTCAACCTCCTCATCATGAAGTACATGAAACTCCTCCCCAGAATAAAAGGTTCAAGCTTGGTTACTATGTTGATGGCCTATATTGAGGGCACTCTTATCAGTCCGCAAGACACGAATCGTTTAATTTTTCAGAGGAACATTTTCAATATTCATTTGCAATGCTGGATCTTGAGGTAGCCAGGCACAGTGATAATTGTATGGAAAAACTTGTTCTTCATGGTACCTTCAAAGACAAAAGACACATCAAGCGTATTGTGGTAAAAAAAAAATGCATGAAAGTTTTGAGTTCAAAGTGAACAAGTTCCAATGTAAGAGCCATAATTGCCGATGGTGATAACAGGCAACACAAGACAATGAGAATGGTTTGTTCCATATTAAAATTGTATCGACCGAATAACGCATGCGGTTTGACATAGTTGCCCAGGAGCATAGTTCTGCAAGTGTGTGAGAAGTTATACCAACATAATTAGTGTTAATCCTATCCAAGAGTAGCATAATGTAACTGTAATCTAGTTCTTATTTTTCGCTTTAGTTTATCCTTACTTTTATCTCTATATTTTAATTTACCTTCTTGTTCTTGCTCTCAATTCCACTTTGATATAACTCTTACAGTGTGTTTGGATGCATCAGTTTCACTCGAAATCTGCTTTAAGATTGGTAATTTAGACGAGAAAGAAGGTAATTTAGACGAGAAAGCAATTTTCCTTCGTTTGTGATGTGAAATATTCTAACACTCAAATTAAAACCCTATGATTGTAGTATGTGTAAGTAGGGATCGTTCTAGGCCGGGGATTAGAAGGAATGCTAATCTACTCAAATTAAACTCTAAAACACTAAACTAGACTCAAAAACAGAAAACTAGACTCTAACAACTCAAAACAAACTAAAAAGACTCAAAACAGCACAACATAATCAAATAGACTTAAACTAGACACTAAAGGATGATTTGGACGATAATTACTTTTAACTTGACTCGAAACACTTAAAAACACAAGTTTGGACAAATTCTAACTAAAAGACACAACCAAGTAAAGGGGGATTGGATTTTGGACGAAATTAAGGTAAAAACAAATAGATTTAAAGACTTAAATAACTTTGGACGAAATTAGGGAAAAATATGGGTGATAAGCTATCCAGATGGTCCTTCTCCACACATGACACACTTGCATACAAATTGATTTCCAGTTGCTTTTTCAATAAACCATGAACCTCAACACCCCAGATTAACCGTGAACAGC